AGAACAAATTATTTTTAATTTTAATATTTCAATCGTTATATTTTACCGTTTCTTTATACGTTAACGTTTCTTTACACGTTAACGTTTCTTTACACGTTAACGTTAGACTTTGAGTGTTTAACCGTTTAATCATTAAACTTTACAAAACATTTAGACAGAAGTTGATACATATTTTACGCCGATTGTGTAGTACTAAATAACTATGTTTGTATAGTCTCTTTCATATTTGGTTCGGTAAAGCTGTTTAGACTCTGTTGCATTGGACGTTTCCCATTAGCAATTCTTTTAAAAATGAAGATTTTAAAACTAATTTTTTGAATCTTTTTTTGAATCCTTTACACATTTTACATTTTCATTTTTGGTCATATTTACAAGCATTGAACGAAAAAGCCACTAAAAGCTGCACCCAAAAAAATGTAATTTAACCCTAAAGTACCTATTTTGCATTCTGAAGACAATCTTCAGCCCCATTTCTTTCAGAGCTCCAGAAAATTGATTAAAAATTGATTCTAGACCTAAATGTTAAGGAGACTAGGAAGCGGCTGATAAGTAAGACATAGTTTATCAAAGGTTTTAAGATATCTGCAACAATAATCAACTTAATCTTTTGATATAATAAACTAGAGTTACCATAATTAATGGAAGTATACAGCTTTCTGTGAATAAACCAATTCTTTTCCAAGTTGCTATATTTGCAAATGCAATTCTTCATTAATGAACACACCATACAAAATAAAAGTATATAGCATGAGCCTGGATTTATTTTTAACCATATGGAAAAAAACTCAACCTCTTTTTTCCATTGCAGGCTAGGCAATTATTGCTGAGGAGACGCACTTGTTACCGATGATGCGGTAACAAGTGCGTATCCTCATAAAAAGTGCATTCAGAGGATTGAACGAGGTAGAGAAATTTTTTGCATAAACATCTAGTAAAGCGCCATTAAAACAAAATTTATTGATAAATATTTCATTTTTAAAGCAACACAAATAATTAAACTAAAATTGTTTATACCTAAATTTGAGTACATAACGATGCAGCAACTTTGTACATAGTTTTTGTTTAAAAATTTTTTCTAAAAACAAAAACAATTAAAAAATTCGGATCACAACAACAACAAAAAAAAGTCAACAAAAATAAAACTTATTGTACCGTTCAATGAATAAATAAGTATAAAGTTTCAATAAATTTTTTTCTTTAACATAAATTAATTCATCTTTTAAAAGCAATTTTAGCTAACAGTTAAATTTGAATTATTATGATGTAGCTTACCTTCGTGTGGCGTATGGAAATTCTTGGATTCCTTTTTTTTTTTTTTTAATTAAATAATATAAAAAAAAAAGTAAGGAGGACTGAGTTTCCGCAAAAAAGCTAAGCTAGTTTTTTATAAAATTAATAATTCTTTAGTGTTAAGCCATAAATAATAAATGAAACTTTACAGCATTATGAAATCATTTTTGTTTTTTAAATTTTAGCATTGGATTATATATATAGCAAATTTAATAACTCATTTAGCGTTACTTTCTTTTAGCAAAACAACGTTGACTGCGTTTTCTTTTGAATATAGTCTTTTTTCCTTTTGGTCTATTAAAAAAAGTAAATATAATAAATCACAAATGTTTTTTAAAAAATTACCTGCTTCCAGATAAAAATCTACAAAAATAAATTTAAAATGTCTAATTTTTAATTTAAAGTAAACAGGCTGTTCAAACTCAACCTAATTTTAAGCTATTTATATTTTGGTAATTAATTATTTAATCAATGTAACAAATTTTTAATTTTAATTTCCTTTTGGGTCAAAGACCAGAAAAAGGACCCGGAAAGTTACTCCATTTCACTCTCTAAATTGATTTTATGCGATCGTAATATTTAAATAATAATTTTTTGAAAAAGTGAAATTTGAAACCAATCATGAACTTTTAGAGAATTTAAATTGAAAATTAAAATAAAAAATAAAAAGGAATTTTAAGAACTATACTTTAAGGAGAGAGTGGGAACGGAATTGGTCAATAATATCAAACCGATTCCCTGTATTTAGCATTTCACAAATCTATTATTATTTTTTTTTTTCAATAGAAATTTGAAAAATAATTTACATGTTTAAAACCATTCCGTGTTATAACTAAAAAATATTTGTTGCTGATAAAGTATTTCAAGTCTTCTTAATTTTTAAAAACAACGTTTTCTGCTATTTTTTTCAGAAAACGGCACAATAATTTTATTCATGTTGTCATGACGGTTCCTTAATAAAATCATAAATACTAGCACTATGTTTATAGCAGAATATCATAGACAAAGAAATCAAATTTAATACCATCAAAAATGCAGTATACAATGTTTAAATTCTTTTATGTTATATTAGAGATTTCATGTTAAAGAATTATTTTTTCTGAGCTCATATAACTTGAATACTTAATTTTAACCAGGATAATTTTATTTTATTGGTAAGTAAGGGCATTGTGTTTATTTTGAAGCATAATATGAAACATTCTGTTAGTTAACTATATTATTTTAATAATTTTTTTTTTGAAAAAACATTTAACTAATTTCTGATCAAACAATTACAATAAAAATATAATAACTAAAAATGACTATAAATTAATTCAACAAAACAACAAAGCAGAATTAACGATTAGATTTGTTTATAAATTTTTTAGCATTTTACACGCAAATTACATTTACATGTCTGACGCAAGGGGCCAACACGATTAATAAATTCAAACAAATAGCATTGTTTGAATTTTGTTAACCTCGATTTAAAAAAGTAGCTAAAGAATTTTGTTAATCTCAATTCAACTGCATTTTTTTAGGAAATATTTTTATTACATCTATCGATAAAAATATTTTTTCCACCTAACAAATCAATCTTAAAGAGAAAAAAAAAAGGTTTTTCTCCAATAAAATCTTGTTTGGTACTTTAAAAAATTTTATACGACAATTGTAAATGGCCATTGTATTGCACTTGAAAAAAATCTGTGGGTGTGGCATGGTATATAAACATTATATTGAATAACTGTAATATATATATATTTTTTTTTTGTTAAAGAAACTTTGTAGGTGCAACTTTGTATATAACAATTACATTCTATAGAATTTTTTTAACAATTATTATATATCCATTATATTCTTTTTTATTTATTACACTCGTGGGAGTTTTCAGAAACGCATTTATTTGGTGGAAAAGTTTTGGAAGAAAGTTGAATTTGATATGAATTAAAAGTGCTATTACAACTTATTTCGAAAATATTGTTGTTAGAGTATTGCTGTCAGGTTTGCAGATAAATGCCCCGATACATCAGTTCCAAAGATTTTTCAACGTTGATTTAGAAATTTCATTGGGCGCATATATTACGAAGCTACAAATTCAAAAGCGGTTCGGCAAGAATCATCAGATCTACTATTGCCGCGGATTCCGCGGATGCCGCGGGCATATCAGGCTAAAATGCAGCAATAAGTTTGAGAAAAGTACTTTTTAACAAAAGCCTAATATTTTGCTAAAGACTTGTAAATGAACTTTGCGCTATATAGGGAGTAATCATTTTTTTCCATTGCGCTAACAGGCCGTCATACATTAGGGCAGAATAGCTTTAAAACAGGACATTTGACAAATATGAGAATAAACAGGAATAGGCATTTTTTGGTGGAAATATGTAAGATAGAGATTCTGGTCCATCTTATGCACTTGTTTTTGTCATCTTAGGAGTGACTTTTAAGCCAATAGAACCCTAAAAGTCACATGCACAATTTTTTCCCCTTTGTTTTTATCAACTTAAAGCCACTTTGTTAAAAGTTTTATTTTTCAGAAACTCTTCAATTTTAGGTTTGTAGCCTTTTTTTTAGAAATGATAAAATATTATGTAAGTGCTAGCAATATATATTGTTACATCTTTGATAAAAGAGCAACTAAAGTAATTCATTTTTTCTAACTTTTTAAACTATGCACTTTTTGTTTATGTACTCAACTAAGCACAGTTTCAATTGTTTTTTTTTTACATTAAACTTAAATTTTTCATAGTTATTTCAGGGAATCGGGTGAAATTTTGTTATCATTTATTTTTATTATATATTTATTCAAGCTTTAGTTTTTGACTTTAATGCGCTAACCAAAGTCACTCGATAATATATTGTTCTGTTTCTAACATTACTAAATGTTTAAAATTCTATGCATTTACTTTTTACAACTGTATGTATTAACTTTACAAAAACAACAACAACAACAAAAAAAACTAAAATATTGTAAAAATAATACTTATGTTTAGTTCTGTTTGTAAATAAATGAGTTCCCTACTTTCCTGGGAATAGCCTAAAAATGCATTTTTAAGTATATATTAGTTTTAAAATCATTTATTTTTTTTAAAACTATAATTTTTTTATGCATTAATAACTTTTTTCAACTATTAAAATTACTTAGCACTATATTTAAATATTGAAAAATAAACTTACACAGTACTGTACTTGTAAAAGAAAAAATAAAAATATATATATATATTTTCTTGTTTCTATTTTCTATATTGCAAGTAGCAGGGGCAAGACCCAGTAAGCACAGGACGTTTTTAAAACGTTTTAATTCCGTTCAATTTACGGTCAGACGTTTAAAGAACCAATACAATCGTTTTTAAAACGTTTTTTTGTAAACGTTTTTTTAGCGTTTTTTTTTTTTAACAACTTACGAAATTTCTCAGTCCCAGTAAGCACATGAACGTTTTTAAAACGTTTTTATAACTAAGAAAAAAAACGTTTTTTAAACGTTCTGAATGGCAATACCTAAAAAACGTTTTTAAAAAGGCGTTTAAAAAACGTTCTAACAAAGCCGTTTAAAAAACGTTGTAAAAAAAAATTTTAAAAAACGTTCTCAAATAACCTAAATTAAACCATATAAAAACGTCTTTTAAACTTATAAAAGACGTTATTTTTTAGAAAATATTCCTAAATCCATAGGTACTATTATTAAATTGTTTTTAAAAGAACCTGTTGGTTTAAAAAACAAGAAAAATAAAAAA